TATGAACCACCTCCCCCTTCTTATAAATCTAAGACCCCTTTCATTATATAAGACAGACAGAAGAATAACACAAGTAGCAGATTTCATATTTCAATTTACAAAATTAAAATATGCAATTTAATTGTGAATAAAATCTGGTAGCCAACTGGTAAAATTACCTTTCCTGGCAAACCCTTTACCTCACCTGCTCCTTCATCAGCTTCCCACTCACACTAGGTCTGGTGTCAGGGTATGGAGGTATCATCAGTAGCCAAAGAGGTCATATTTAATTCATTAATTTCATCACAGATAGCTACAATAACACCTTATCCTTGTTTCCTTAATTATGTCAAATATTTAATGTATTATTGTTGGCAATGGATCTGGGAGGACTATAGGTATGAGGTGTACAGATGGACCATATGCCGATACTACTTTTTAATGAAAAGAGCATTGTTATCTCACTTATGGACCACAAGAATGTATTTTTCCTATTTTCTCTGGTGTATTCCTACTGTACCAGTTCTTCAAAATCAAAGAGAATTCTTGACCTTTACCTTTCCCTTCATTTCCCAAGAGGTAAGTTCCTTCCTAACATCCCTTTCTGTTTCCCCATACAGCCTAAAGAATATATTCTCTGGGTAAATCATTTTCTCTAAAATCCGCAATTGATCCTACTATATCTATCCAGGAATTGGTCCTAGATAGGTCATACTCAGGCTTCTGGCAGAAACATGTGCTAACCTATTCATGTTTGACAACCATATATTGTAGGAAGCACAGGATTCTCACTCACAGAAAGTCCAACCTCATTGAATATATTAATATAAGAAAGAAAAAACTTTAAGCAAAAGGTATTTTCAGGAGCAATGAAGATCAATTCATTACAAGTGTGTGCCAATAGGGGCATGACAAAACACATTCAAGCATACATTGGACATTTGTAAAAACCAATAATCTATTAGGCCATAAAACAAGCCTCAACAACTTTCAAATATCAGGTCACACATGGACACTGCTGTCTGATTATAATGTAATTAATGGAGAAGTTATTAATAAAAAATAATAATCTTTATGTATTTGTAGTTGTTACATCTCTGACACCAAATGAGATGGTGTATTTCTTCCCTACGTATGTGTGTAACAGTAACAATATTATACACAGCAGTAATAGCAGTAAAACTTCATTCTGGTACCCAGACCTGATTCCAATGTTAGTAAATATTTGGGAGGGGGGTTTTCCCACACACTTACACCAAACAATTCTTGAACATCAGCAGGGTGTTGGAAAACTCAGCTCAATTCTGATGCTATCTGCCCAAAGACTGCACCAGATTCCTATGTTAAGGGGTCTGTTCTACAAGACTGCCCTCCACCCCCACTCCAGATGCCGGTCGCAAGGCCCACAACCTGTGCTTCTGACCTACCGGCTACAGATTGGAGGTTCCCACGACATCCTCCTTAGGTTCCATTAATTTGTTAGAGCTACTCACAGAACTCAGGAGGAAAACACTTCAGTTTACCAGTTTAATAAAGGATACCACAAAGGATACAAGTTAACAGCCAGATGAAGAGAGACTTAGATAGGGCAGGGTCCGAAATAAAGAAGCTTGTATCCTCGTGGAGCTTGGGGCCTGGCTCAGTGGCAGGTGGAGGCATTTTGGGTTTCCCAAGCATAGAAGCTCTCTCTGACCAAGAAGCAAGATCTAACCGAGCAGAGAAGGCAAACCAGAGCAAGCATGCCAGCTCTCTTCTCATGTTTTGAGAGAGTTTCACTGCATAGTCATGACTGACTAAACGTCCAGCCCCTGCCCTTGGGTGGGGGTCCAAAAGTCTCTCATTAATATGACAAAACACCTGTTTCACCTTTAAGACTCTGCAGTGTTTTCAGAACTGTAGATGAAGACCAAATATACCTGGGAAATACACATTTGGTCATATGAATGATCAAATTTCTTTGGTCATTTTTTATAACTCATTATATCACAGTAGTTAAAAAACAAACTGCTAAATGATTCAAGGGCTATAGAAGAAATAATGAAAGTTAAAAACATCTAGAAGTAAATGATAATGAAATGATTACATATCATTTCTTATGGGATACAGCAAAGCAGTACAATGTGGAATACTGATATCTTTAAATCTCATATTAGAAAAGAATAAAGACTGAAAACTAGTAGCTAAATATCTGGCTTAAGATGTGAGAGAGAGTATCAGAATAAGCCCAAGAAAAATAGAAGGATAATAATGAAAGCAGAAATCAATAGAAAACAAAATGCAGCAATAAGTAAAGCAGATAAGCTTATGACAAGATTGACAGAGACAAAAAGAGAAAGTAGATACAGTTATGTAATATTAATGGAAAGGGACTATAATTACAAAAAAGCAAGGAGCAAAAAGATAAGGAAATATTTAAAATTACATGCCAATTTTGAAAAATCATGTGAAAGTCTACATTGTAATATATATAATATATATTACCAAAACCGACTCAAAAATTAAAAGGCCTAAATAATTCTATAAGCCTAGATTTCAAGCAGTAGCTTAAATTCTCCCCTAAAACACTGGGCTCAAAGCGTTTTCATGAGTCCTATCACAAATTTCAAGAAATAAATTATTCCAATCCTACACAAACTCTTCCAAAGAACTGAAAAAAAGATAATATTCTTCAACTCATTTCGTAAAGCTAGTGTAACACTGATATAAAAACCAAACTGAAACATGAAAAAGAAAAATACAGATATAAAAATCCTAAAGAAAATATTTGAAAACTGAACACAGTAGGGCATGAAGAGATAATAAACCATGACCAGGTTGGATTTATCCTATGTATATAAAGATTATTTCATTAGAAAAGTCTACAAATGAAACTCACCACACATACTAAAGAGAAAAATTACAATTATTTTGATAGATGAAAATATATGATAAAATTTCACATAAATTCATAATTTAAAAATCAGAGTAAATCCCAAATGCCAGGAAACTTGCTTAACCATTATAATGAGTATCTGCAGAACACCCAGAGCAAACAATATCCTAAATGGGGAAACACTAGTACCACCCCCTTAAAATCTGGAATTAGAGAAGGATGCCATTATTACCATTTCTATCCAACAGTGTATTGGAGGTCATAACCAGTGCAATTAGAAGAATAAATTAGAAACATAGGATTAAAAAGGAGGAAACAGAGCCCCTTTATACAGAAGATCTAAATAGAGAAATACAACATTCATTGAAGAGGAAGATTTAATATTCATAAAGATGCCATTTCTCCCCAGAGTGTTGTACAGATTCATTGCAATTACAATCAAAATCCTAAAAGAGCTTTTCATGATACATGATAATCTGATTTTACTATTGATGTGAAACGGTAAAGATCCAAGAATGACCAGGGCACTTCTGGAGAAGAACAGGGAGGCAAAGACCTGTCCACTAGACAGCATCACCTGCTACAAAGTTACAATAACTAGGATGCTGTGGTATTGGCACAGCAACAAACCAGCCAATGATAATATACAGCAGAACAGTAAACTCAGAAGTAGTGTCATAAACCCAAATATATGTCCATATCGAAGTTTTGTATAGGACAGAGGTGACATGTCAGATCAATAGAGGAAAAGGGGGCTATTCAGTAAATGTGGATAGAAAATGGATCTATATTCATAAGGAAAACGAAGTAATTGCGTTCCTAAGATCATGTAAGAAAACCAATTCCATTGGGATAAGAAATGTCAAAAACAAAATGTTAATACTAAGAAAATTTAGATATCTCTTTGACCTTGGGGCAGGGACGGATTTCTTAAATATGACATCAACCTCCGAATTCTCCATTTCCCCATGCTCAAAAGCTAACAATAAATAAAAATTAATTAATTTTAAGAAATTTTGTCCTTTAGAAGAACACCTTACTAAGAAATAAAATCCAGGGAGTCTGTGACTACCATGGGATAAGACATCTTTTGTCTTCACTAACCTGTGACTAAAATGTTGCGTTTCCTTCAATTACGAATTTAGACCAGGGGTTCTCAAACTGTGTCCTGTGGGCCAGATTCCACCTGGTTTTTGTAAATAAATTTTTATTGGCATACAGCCACGCCCCTCTGTTTACAGTGGTTGGGGTTTGCTTTCTCTTACCATGGCATAGTAGTTAGAACATAGATTGTATTGCCTGAAAAGCCTAAAAGATATACTATCTGATCCTATATGGAAAGGTTTGGTGACTTCTGGTCAAGATAACAATGTTCATAAACTCTTTGAGTTCACAGGTCATCCTTAATATCAGCTGCCGTTATTTATTGATTGACTGTTTGCCAGGCGTGTACCGAGAGCTTTAACTATACCACTGCATTCAAGCCTCACAACCCCATGAGATAGGTTTTATCTTCCATTTTATAGAGAAAATGAAGGCTTACAAAGTTCTGTCTGAATCCCATTTCTGCTCTTAGTCATTACATGGACCCTTTCCAAGGGCTCCTCTCATTCTTTTTGATCTGTCCATTTGTCCAGTGACCTGCCCTGTTTGATTTATTGTTGGCATTCTTACATCTTAATGTCAGAAGGTAATAATTATTGTTATAGCAAAACCTCCCTTAAACATTAGATTCGCCGAATGTGATTTTTCTGGTTTATCACCTGTATTTTAACCTATATTGAAAAACTTTCTAAAGTATTTTGATATACTTTCCAATTCAGCAGGTACCGAATACTGAACAAAAATCAAACTTGCATTGAGCTCTTGCAGAACTTTATAGTTTTCATTCTCCAAAACCAGTCACTTTATACAGGAATTACATTTCCTTACATTTGCATAGTATTTACATTTTTTAAAGCACTTTTTGACAAACCTCTAAACTAGGACCAGCTAGCATACACCACCACTAACTAGTTATCCCAGTGAAGTGCAGCCCCAACGCCGCAGCTCTTTGGTTCCCGTTTGGCATTAGAGGAGCGCAGCGGGAGGAAACGAGTTTAGGGACTCCCGGGGCCCAGTTGTCCTCTGGACAGCGACGTGAAGTTACCACGACCATCGAGGAGCAAGGTCCTAACCGCGTCCCCTCATTTTCCGCCCTTTCATTGAAAATTCGGCAGGGAGTGCGGGGCGCAGCCGCGTGTGTGGGGACAGCTGTGGGACGAGGCGGGTGGTCCCGGGGCACTGAGGCGCCGGGTAGGTCCCGCCTGCTCTGCCCCAGGGCGACCTCCGCCCTGTGTACGAGGCCGCGACCGGGATCTCTACCTCCACAGGGCCGAGCCGCAGCAGGTAAGCCACGATAGCACGGCAGCTACCACCCAGCATGACATGGCGCCGGGTGAGCCTCCGCCCAAACGCCCGGGCCTCGCGCGCTCCCGGGTGCTCTGGTCGCGCTCACCTGCAGCGCGGGCGAATACGCGCGCGTGCCAATCCCTGCAACGCGCGCCAGCCCCCGCAGCACTCCCCAGCCGCGAAGACATCTGCTGGGGTACAAAACCTAAACCAGTTTTGAGGAGCGGCAAAATTGTTCTTTTTTTTTTTTGAAGTGAAATTACAGAACCACTTCGGAAAATCCGAGTTGACTGAATGAAGGTGAAACTTTTAAGTTAGTGTATGTTTTAGCCCCATGGTCGTTCTGACTGTATAAAACCACTGCGTCAGCAAATACCTATCTGGCAATGCTTTCCAGGGAACAGGCACTCCATAAACGATTTTTTTATGCTCAACAGCAACAAACAACATGCAACGTGTGTTTATTGAGCACTTACTTAATGCTCAACACTATGTCGTGGACTTGCATACAAAGAAATACGACAACATTCTGATTTACAAAGGAGTTTGTAATTTTGTGGTAAACCCAAGACAAACACCAAAGTTGTCACATAGTATTATAATGTATTTGTTTATTTGTGGTAGTAACCTGGCAATCTGAATACTTGAGGGTTGCCATTATATCTTTATTCCTCCTTGTGTCGTCATTGCCCAATAACATCTTAGTTTGTAGTAGGTTCTCCATGTTTACTGACTTAATGAGTCATTGAATAAAGATAGTAAAACACTAAAATGCGCTCTAGGGACCAGGAAAGAATGTGACTGTGATTTGGGAGACTTTATTTAATGCGATTCTATTCCCACTTTTTTTCCAAAGCGACTTTATATCAGAATTAGATGTCACAGTTAATCTGCGTGGCAACTGGAAGAGCATTAGCTAGGTAGTAGGTAAACTCCATAATCTAGGTGCAGATGATACACTAATAGTGAAATATACAGAAAGGGCCTTGGCTCTGGATTGACTGCCTGTGTACCAACTCAGCTGGTACTAGAGTAAGTCAACTAACTTTTAAATCCTGTAAAATAAGGATAAGATAGTATTACCTACCTCATACGGTTGTGGTAATTAAGAGGTAAATGCATTTCCGTACCTGGCATACACTAAATGACATTCATTAATTCACTCCTCCTCTCTGAGACTCTGCTCCTAATGTGTAAAATGAGAATGGTTAGGACTCTACTCGATCTCTAGGTTTTAAGATCTAATGTCCTCTACCTTATTACTTTAGTCTGCCTTTTTTGATCCCTGCCTCATCTGTGTTCTTACTTCTAGAACTTTACTTTTCAATTCTCTACCTATACGTTCCAATTTCATCCCATTTGTATTTTGCAATTCCACCCTTTGTATTTCGTACACACTATCTCATCCCTTAACAAAAACAAATCATTAAAAAATAATTCTAAAATGAACACTTTCAGAGGCTGCCTCCTGTCGCTGGCAGACACCGTGGCACCACCCCAATTCGCGGCAGCCGGAGCGTTGCATGCCGGGAGTTGCGGTCCGACGCTCCAGCGCGCTCCTCCACGCCTCCCGGGTTGAAAAATCTGGCGTACGGGCGGAGGCGGGGCGTCGGAGGAACCGCGCGCCAAGCCCTGCCCCCGGCTCCGCGAGGCGCGCCAGGCCGCGGAGGGGCGTGGCCTTGGTCCCCGGTGGTGGCAGTTGCCGCTGCCCGGGCATCTTCCTCCCGGGGTGCAGCTGCCGCCGGCCTGCGCAGGGCAGCCATGGTTCCCCACTGAGAGGGCTCCGCGGAGCGCAGGGCGGAGCTTGGCCGGAGGGCGGAGCCGGCTCTGGCTCCCTCTTCCTCTGCATGTGGCTGGCGGCCGCAGGGCCGTTGAGTTCTAGTACTCCTCGCAGCCCGCGCCTCTGTCTGCTCTCCGCGCGTTGCTGCAGCCATGGCGTTGGCCGAGAGTCACTCGGCTGCATCCTCCGTGCCCAACGGCAACTACGGCGGCCCCAGGGCGCGGTCCAGAGGAAACCGGGTGACCGTTGTGCTCGGCGCGCAGTGGGGCGACGAAGGCAAGGGAAAGGTGGTGGATCTGCTGGCGCAGGACGCCGACATCGTGTGCCGCTGCCAGGTGAGGCGACCGGGCTCTGACGGGGAGCGGGCCCTGAACCCCGATCCTCCGTCCAAATTAAGGTGTCACCTTGAGGTTCTCTTTTGCTCTGAACTGAGGAGATCTGGAGAAATGACGGGAGGTCGGAGCTCCCTGACCTGAGGTCTTGGTTGGAGCGGTTGAGTAGCCCTGGAGGAAAACGCGGGCTGACCAAAGGCTTTGAGAGATGCGCGATGCCTCGGGAATGGCAGTTTTCGGTCTGGAGGCCAGCGCTCAACCCCAGGACTGGGCGGGGGTGAAGGGTATTAGGTCCGAGTTCGAGGAGTTGCCGCCCGAGGCCTGCACCCGACGCAGGACCTTCCCATCGTCCACCTACCCCGGGGGACCCGGTGGGAGTGGATTGTTCCAAACCGCCCTTCAATTCCAGGTGCACCGCTTCCCCCACCTACAGGACCCCAGCGTGCAGACCTTTTCCTCCTCTGGCCCACATTGTTGACTTGAGAACCCACCTCTGGGCTTTCGGCTATTTAATGGCCCCGGATTTTAACAGCATACCACGTTTACTAATATTAAGGGGAAGTTATTTTTACTTTACAGAAGGGAATTCAAGCCCTTTCACAAGTGAGGCAGGTAAATACGTGGATGTCAAATCTGTTATTTAGAAATATTTACATTTTACGAGCCCACATCGAACGTGAACTTTCGGGAAATGAAATGGTAATGTACTTCCTACTGGGAAACACGTGGTTTTCAGTGTTTTCTTCCCGTATTTGTTGCTTGCTTTGAAGAAGCCTTTTGTAAAGGTTCTTAGATAACTATTACCAGTTGCAAAATTGAAAATGGTTGCGCAATAGCCACTTTGAAAATAATTTGTAATGTGTTATTTGAAGTTAACCGCTGTCTTTATGGCACAAGAATAGTTCTTCCTGAACATGGTAAGATGATGCCATGCTGCATATGTTCTAACAGGTTAGCAGGCCCACAATCGGAAGCTTTTACCCAAAACTGAATACCATTTCAGCATGTAGAAATATGGTAATCACAGGTACATAAAAAGCTAAATGCAGACATTCCTAACTTTGTTTTTTTTGCACACAGATTTCATCCTGCCATTCCTTAGGCTGAGATAGCTGTTGCACTAGTTGCCTCCAAGCATTATCACTAGTGGTGCCATCACTTCCCTTTGGCTTCCAAACTTCTGTTTCTCCACCCCTCTGGCAACCCACATACCTTACTTAACGGCATGTCTAAAGGTGTTGCCATTGAATTCTGCCCCACATTGCCTCAGGAAGCTGCTCCAGAAGCTCAGCCTTCACCTTCTTTTTCTTAAAATCAGATCTGGTCGTGCAGTGGGGAAAGAAGTATGAGACTGCCTAACTCTTGCTGGGTAGGAGAGACAGGTTGAGGCCTGTTTGTCCCCTTCACTGTCATTCCTGACATCTTCCTTATGTGAGGTTGAGCTACATTATGGGTTATAAGAAGGTTTGGGGAATGAACCATTATAGCATTTATTCTAAAAGATAATCAATTTTAATATCCCTTTGAAAAATAGTAGAATTAGTTTGTAGAATGGAGCAGGTATTACTATGTTACTGTGGAAATAGTCTTGAAGGGGGTGGTGGACCAATGTAATCTGATGCCCATGAAAAGTCTAGAGGGAAGTGATTGAGAAGGAGCCAAGTTAGGCTTTAAAATGTTAGCTGAATATAGAGGAGAAACGTAAGCAGACTTCCCTCATTTGTACACTTTTGACCCATTAACCTTCCTTATATAATTCTAAGATCTTTATATTCTAGTGACTTTTGAGAGCTCATCATTAGAAGAATTCTTATTAATCTTGTTAGTGAAAGTAGATAAGGAACAAAGAGACTTTTAAACATAATGCTTGCGATTCACCTTGGTAACTTTATATTATTTGGTCAGTCCTCATAAGCTGGCATCCACTTAATGAAGTTCTCCTGGCTTAGAAGTGGAAGAATATAGAATGTTCAAATACCTAATGAATGTGTATAGAGAGCTGGGAAAAGTCAACATTAGGAAAGCTATTTTGATTGAATTGCCTGGTTTGATTAAGTTTTTAGTGTATTATGAGGAGAATATGTACTTTGTTAGTTTAATCTACTTTTTGTCATACTTGTGCCATAAACACAAATTTTATACAGATTGTTTCTCCAGAAGTGGTATACACATAATATATCATATTTCAACAGTGGAATCATAAAATAAGAAATTTCTTCCAACATCAAATACAGTTTTTAAAAGAAAAATTGACATTGCATCTAACTATATTTTAATATATAAAATGCCTTTTCGGAAAGAATAGATGCAAAATTAGTGGAATTTTCATCATAATAACACTTAAGGCCTATATCTCAATTCAGGAGTGATAGGGAGTTACTTCTAACTTGGTAGATGCTCTAGATCCATGAATGAGTGTGTAGAGCTTGCATCAGAGGACAGTCATGCTGATGCCTTTATTTTAAATCGATATGTCTTCTAAGAAAGAAGAGTTAAGTATAGGACCAACTCCAGACCTAGTTTAGTCATCCACCAATCACATGAGTACCAAGGGAACCATTAGCCCCAGAGTTAAACAGATGAAAAAGACAGGATTGCACCCACAAGAAGCTTTTATAATACAGTAAACTACTACATAAACAAGTTTTGGGAAGATACTAGTATCTTTCATCTCCACCTTGGCGATACTTTACAAACAGTTGAAGGAAAGGAAGCTGATTACTGTTTTCGCCCCACCCCAATCCTCTCAAAATAAACTCTTATACTTTATTTCCTTTATTTTGTTGAGTAGAAACTCCCAAGATTTTAACTACTGCAGTTTCTTCCAGGCCTTAAGCAAGAGCTTATTTGTTGTTCTTGGAGAAAGCAAGCTGGGTAGTCTTGGTTACAGTGACTAGCGTGAAGTTGCCTGTAATGAGGAATAGCTAGGACAGTATTCCTTTTCTTTATGTCCCCCACTACAGCCCCATTTTTAAAGTTGATATAAAGTGGAAATATTAACTAAAATTAATTATTAAAGGGAAAGTATATCCATCACTTAAGTAAACAATGAAAAAAACGGTAATTTGTGGCTGGATGCTGGTTTCTGCTGAAGGCCATGACACCAGCTATTAGTAAGTGATAATAAAGTGTAGAAGACATACCGGCAGCAAGCAGAGACTTTTCTTGAAGTAATAAGAAAAGTTGACAGATAATTTCAAAGGGATAACTTCAGTGTTATTTAATGCCTTGAACTTACACGGCTAAAGTTATTTCCCAAATCATTTCCCATACTTTTAAAGATAGTAGAGAATTATAATTTAAGGTAAACCCTTCTTACAGGTTTATAACAATTGTTATTTCTGTGTCTCCTATCAGGTTGCTTTTTTTTTTAAAGTTTGTTATCATTAATCTACAATTACATGAGCAACATTGTGTTTACTAGACTCCCCCCATCATCAAGACTCCCCCACATACCCCATTACAGTCACTGTCCATCAGCGTAGTAAGATGCTATAGAATTAGTACTTGTCTTCTCTGTCTTATACAGCCCTCCCCGTGGCACCCCCCTATATTATGCCTGCTAATAGTAATGCCCCTTATTCCCCTTATCCCTCCCTTCCCATGCATCCTCCCCAGTCCCTTTCCCTTTGGTAACTGATAGTCCATTCTTGGGTTCTTGAGTCTGCTGCTGTTTCGTTCCTTCAGTTTTTTTTCCTTTGTTCTTACACTCCACAGATGAGTGAAATCATTTGATACTTGTCTTTCTATGCCTGGCTCATTTCACTGAGCATAATACTCTCTAGCTCCATCCATGTTGTTGCAAATGGTAGGATTTGTTTTCTTCTTATGGCTGAATAATATTCCATTGTGTATATGTACTACATCTTTATCCATTCATCTACTGATGGACACTTAGGTTGCTTCCATTTCTTGGCTATTGTAAATACTGCTGCAATAAACATAGGGGTGCATATGTCTTTTTCAAACTGGGCTGCTGCGTTCTTGGGGTAAATTCCTAGGAGTGGAATTCCTGGGTCAACCTCCATGGAGGTTTTTTGAGGAACCTCCATATTGCTTTCCACATGGTTGAACTAATTTACATTCCCACCAGCAGTGTAGGAGGGTTCCCCTTTCTCCACAACCTCGCCAACATTTGTTGTTGTTTGTCTTTTGGATGGTGGTGATCCTTACTGGTGTGACGTGGTATCTCATTGTGGTTTTAATTTGCATTTCTCTGATGACTAGTGATGTGGAGCATCTTTTCATGTGTCTGTTGGCCATCTGAATTTCTTCTTTGGGGAAGTGTCTGTTCGGATCCTGTGCCCATTTTTTAATTGGATTATTTGCTTTTTTGTTTGTTGAGGTGTGTGAGCTCTTTATATATTTTGGATGTCAACTCTTTATCGAATCCATCAGGTTGCTTTTTATATAGTTTGTAATATTTCCCAAATATGTAAGTGTATGCCAATATGTGGTGGTATACTTGGTTCCGTCTTGCTTTCTTAGGCTACTGTGCTTTCACTACTAGAATGTTTCCTCAAAAAGAGAACTTACTCCTTTTCAGTTTTCTTGCATAGCACCTAGTACTATGTGAGGCAGAAAGGAAGTAAATACTCAACACTTATTTATTGGGTGACTGGGTCATCCCTAGAAATTTTTTTGAACTCAGTAGTTTAACCCTTCTCCTGTAAATTATTTTGCCATCTCTGTAGACAGATTGAGTGATGGCATGAGTTTAAGTGGAATCACCAGCATTCCTTGTATTAACATTTGTTACTTAGTATCTTAAGTGTTACTTTTTACATTGTAACATTATGTTCAAAGGCGTCAGTAATTTATATTTGTCTTACCTCTAGTGCCTTTGAGGAAATAAATACCTAATACTTGTTTCTTTTTTGTGTTATTTCCTCAGCATATCTCAGTTGAATGCCATGCAGTTTTGGTAAATACTTTTTCTCTGCTGAGGACAGTAGATCTTTAAGTTTGGTCAATGAAGGTACCCTGAGTTGTTCACTATTTAA